CCGGATTAAAAGATTCAGTCCGAGCTCAGATTGTTGAAAAATAAAACCTAACCCAAATTCTCAAGGTAATTGGTATATAGGATCGATTGAAATCTCATAAGGCCAACGCATACGAACTCTTGTTTGAACGATGGAAGAAAAATTGAATAACGGTGAAAAATAGTGGACTATTCCTATATTTTAGGGCCCAATAAAATTAAAAGAAGAAAGAAGTTTCAATCAGTAAGTTTGGGAAAACAACCAATCTTTAAGCTTTAACTCCAGGGGTTGGGGCCGCTTTCCTCACCTTATGCAGGGAGCAGGGAGTCATTGTATGGGATAGCGAAAGTTTCCATGGAACGTAAACAGAATATTAGGCATATTATTTGAATAACCTTCTCTAGCGAGTTTAGCGTAGCAGTTACTGGAGTGGAGAGTAAGACTGGTGTGTTGAGGTCAAATTCAAGTCGAGATCATTGCGTTCGCTTTCGCACAAGTAGCTTTTGATAAATACATCTCTTCTCCTTCCAGCTAGGGTTTAATAGCAGAGCATCCTGGGCTATCTAGTGTTGGTTGGCAACTCTGAATTAAAAACCGGTTGGGCGTGGAGCTAGTGACGGCACCCTGTGTAAAACTACTCATTAATGAATAGTCCTGGGTATGACGATAAACGATAAACTACTTCCGGCTTCTGATTGCGAGATTGGAAGTTTTGAGGAGGGTGTTTTACCCAGGTTCACCCTGACCCAGGGTGGTAGCACCTGTTAATGTCCCAGCTACAGGCAAATAGTGAGCCCCCAAACAAAAAGCACTATGAAAGTATAAAATTATATTTTTATAGTAAAAATACCGGTAATACGTTTTTGTATTAAAAAAAAATGGCAAACAATACATTTTATCGATAGTTGAAAGCATACAAATGCGTTGAAAATATTTAGATTTCGGCATTAAATAATCCATAAAGGTTGATATGCTGCTAAAAACAAATCAAGAAAATCAATCAAACTCATTACTGAAATCACAGCAACAGCACTAGTGTAGTCAGGCAGCGGCTTTATATTCCACGGGTGTATCTAGAGAGTTAACGCCCAAGATGAGGAAAGGCATCTATCAATATATTTCGTCATTAGGTAAATATACTAAAGAAAATAGAAAGAGATTAATAAAAGGTGTGTGATATTGATTGACAATTAAGATAAGCATGATTACTTTTCTTATTCAACTCGAGTGACTCCCGGTTTCATTTTCTATTTGTTGACAGGCAATTAATTTGATTGTTTGGAAGACCGAGAATTAATGTCTAAATACAGTATTTTATGAATCAAATCAAGGGATTGATTGGTTCGATTTTTACGGTTTGTCAACCCTTTGCATGTTATTTAAAACCATAAAATATTTGTAAATTGTAAGAGATATTTTTTTGAGGTTTAGTGTTATAAGTTTTACAAAGTGTGGGTGGAGGAGAATAGGTGGATTCAAACCTTTCCCAAGGGTATTTACGTGTAAATGAATATAAGGTACCCAAATGGAATTGGAACTTGTCGGAGTTAACTCCTCCTTCAGTTTGTAACCCTTTCACCAGGGGTCTCTCTTCCCTGGCTATAAATAGCCGCTGACCCTTCGCCTCTTTCTCTTTTTCCCTCAGGCCTGTGCTCCGACACCTGGAGGGAGGTAAATCTCTTTTTCCTCAGGCTTTCAGCTTACAACCTCGAAATGTAGGCGCTAACAAGGGATAGCGTTTCCCAAAAATGCTGGGAACACGCTAAGCACAATACACACACACACAAACGCACATATATAATATTCACACACACACTTTGTCCTTTGTAACTGTTTTCGTGTAATTTGTTATTAATATATATTTGTATACATATCGGTCTTGTGTTTTGTTTGTTTTCTTTGCCTTCTTCTTTGGACTTAATTAAAAGTCCAACTTTCTTGTGTAGTTGGACCAGCTAGCAGGAAAATCTGAACCCACATTTGTTCTTCTACGTCTACTCCGACAACCTCACAGCCACGGTCCACTACAAACTCAGCTCTCCAATCAACAATTCCGAGCCATTATCCATTACAGCAGCAGCACATCCAAGCTTACAGAACCTGGCATTCCTAAGCGGTCACCCATCAAGGTACTGAACAGACTCAACGTTGCTTAACTTTGATGATTGTAGGGGGTACCGATGTTTCTACATGATGTAGCCGTAAGCCCAAATCAACTGACTCAGCGGAATCGGAAATGGCATAATTAAAATTTGGAATAGGAATTCTCCTGTTAAAATCCGAGTATTATTTTTACTAACATAAATATGGAAAATGCGAGGTTTTTTTATCACCATCGTGTCGAGCTTGCTCAGATATAATAACAGTTTTTTTTTTGGGGGGCACCTCGCGGCGGCGTAATGGTTGGCAAGTTTGTCTCGCTAGAACAATTACGACTGAGTAGTGAGTTCGATCCTCACTGGGTTCCCCATATTCTCGGCCTTGTGCCATATCAAAACTACGCTTGGAAAATCACTATATGTCTCGAGGTGGTGTAATCGTAAGCTTGTTTCGCTAGAACAATTACGACTGAGTAGAGAGTTCGATTTTCACTGGGTGCTCCATATTTTCGACCTTGTGCCACATCTATGCTATGCTTGGAAAATCACCATAAGAGGTTTTCGGTGGTAAATCTGAATATATTTGGCAGTACCGTAGCCGTGTCTGTAGTTCGCTTTGAGAACAACTAGGTGACTCCTAAAAACATCTGATACTTCCTGCATCGTGTGTGATACTATGTTAGTTGTAAATTGAGACTCAGATTTTCTTCTCCGTCAAATCGGCACACCCACAACGGTTTGTTGTGATTCTATGTCTGATTCCTACTCTCCGACCTGCCGAGGTGTAATACTCCCACCAGATTAGCTCTTCGAGTCGATGGAATACGCAAACCCAACTGTCATATCAAGGCAAGAAAGGTTGGTCTAGTGAAAATACTAGTAATGAATATTGAACCCCGAAACTACTTACCTCCATTTTGATGTTATAATGACCAAATCACTAGTTGCGTTAAAATATAATGCAAACATTACCAAATTCAGTAAAATTTGAAACTGAAAATAATTTTGAAAGTAAAACTGAACCAATTAGAAAAAAAGTAGAAAATTAAAATTTACAAGGTGGTTAAGACCCAAGGCATGAAAACAAATTTCTTCTGTGCTGCCTACCAAGACCTGCGCGTACTACCCCCGAAATCACCGACCGGCATGCCTGATTGAGGGCCCGGGGCAATACTTTGTGACCCTAGCTATCTTATCAAGAATTGATTTTTTTCTAACTACATTCATATACACTATTTACATTATTGGGACTATTGTCCTCATCTTTGTCGCCATATTTAATTCGTATATATTTATAAGACCAGCTGAACTCTCAACTTGTCATGGTTGAATTGAGCTGATTTGCCACTATACTGTGAGATTTTGCATACATGTGCTATGAGAAAACTTTCTGTGAGTAACTCTTTTGAAAAGTACTTTTCGTGGAACTAAGACAGTCTACCCCAGTTAGCGAAATAAAGGGTTCAGTTCGACATTCCAACCACCTGAAGAAGGCCGGAGCGTACAACGGCCGAAACGTTGTAATAATGTAAATAGTGTACATAATACCTCATCTCAGAAATATAGACAGATACATTCATATACATGACAAACTAAACTAAACATAACTGACTATTAAATCATGAAAAATTTTCGCGGATTTCGACGTCATTCTGGGGTCTTTTTTTACCATCCAAATCCGTAAATTTGTTTTGTTCATGCTAAGTCTCCAAAAACACTGTATAAAATTCACTATTTTTTTTTATCCGTAATGATGAATGTGTTAAATTGTTCAACTTTTTAACAAGAAAAATCTCAAGTTGATATTAAAAATTGTTGCAAAACAATGTTGATTTATCTAAGATGGAATGATCTGTTATGACGTGTTTCGAATTTGTATTTAGATTTATTTTCAATTTTTCTAGTTGAATTGTTCACCTATATTGCATATGATCCATAATTAGATTACAATAAAATTTGTATTTTAACAAAGAAAAGAATAGTGAACTGTTACGTGACATCTGTCCTTCTTTATAGCAGCGAATGTTGGACGATTTCCTCAATGATGAAGAAGCGACTCGAAGCGACAGAGATGTGGTTCTACAGAAGGACTCTAAGGATATCATGGACTGTGCGTGTGAGAAACGATGAGGTCTTAGAGAGGTTGCAAACCAGGAGGAGGCTTATACTTAATATCAGGAAGAGGCAGCTGAAGTTTCTGAGACACATAATGAGGAAAGAGTGTCTGGAGAATCTGATACTCACGGGTCGAGTAGAGGGAAAGAGAGACAAGGGAAAACAACGCGTGACATACCTGGCGGCTTTAAGCAAGTGGATGACAGAACGTGGCCCGAGGGAGGAAGCAGAGGGAAGGGACTCCTTAAGAGCTGCAAGGGATAGAGGGAGGTGGAGAGCCATGATGGCCTACGCCCTGAAAGGACATGGAACATAAAAAGAAAAAAGACTACGTTATGAAAATTGAGATGTAGTAGAGTGGGGGCCCGTATCATAGATTTGGGGGCGGGGGAACGAAACCCTTGCACCGGCCTTACTACTTACAACCACATCATGACCAAAAGACTAAATATATCCTAGAACCGAAATATAATTAACTTTATTTCAAGTACAAAAACATAGAACCAAAGAAAAATATAGAAAAAATAATAAATAAATGAAATAATTAATCTAAAGGCCATGACTATAAGTAACCCAATGCATTAACCCAGATAAAAGAACTGTAAAGGGCCAGTTTCCTCTTTTCCCCAACTTCCTTTAATCCCCCAGTGGCCTATATACATAGCTCGCAAATGGTCTGTAGATTAATCATAACAACAGTCACTTACACGCCTTGAGCGATCATCAGGGTTACGCTATTTGCATATTTTTCTGTGGTTAAATGATGTTTTGTGCTAGCAGTCTCTGTTTCCAGGAAAAACATTTTCTGTATTTCGTACGGTCACCGAAGTTAAGCGACGTCGAGTCTGGTCAGTACTTAGATGGGTGACCGCTTGGGAATAACAAGTTCTGTAAGCTTGGATGCGCTGGTGGAGTAATGGATAATGACTTGGAATTGTAAATCGGAGAACAGAATTCCAATTCGCGTTGGGTTCGTTATATTCTCTTAGGCGCAAATACACTTGAAAAAGGTATGAATCAACCTCTTCCCCCCACAGGCTATGGATTAATTAGTAATATTTGTATCACTAAAACCATTGTTATCTCAAAAAAAAAAATTCTTACAACTTAAATATATTTTCTGGCTTTAAATAATCTGCAAAGATTTGATAAGCCGTTAAAAATGAATCAATAAATCTGGCTTCGTTTGAATCTTACCGTAGCTTCGTATATTACATTATGTTGTAGGCGGTTACCGTTTACTTTTTTTTAGGGCTGTAAAGGTGATGTTTCTACTGCGTTCCTGCTACATTTTGACGTGTCACGATGGCCTATGAGGAGAAAGCTGAAGAACTCACCCAACCTAGAATTTTCAAGAACAAGAAAAGCAGTCACAATTAATTTATGGTGACCGGTAATAAAGTCAGAGGGAAAAATCAGAGAAAATTTATTTCAGTACCATAAACAAAGTAATAAAACAAAAAGCATAAATTCCTCGATTGAATTCGATCTTTCTTCGATTATAAGTTAATTCAGGACACGAACAAACCTAATTCGGGGATATTTCGCCAATAAAAACTTTATTTAAGCATTTAATTCAGCATAAACTATCTTCGTATACGATCTACGTTGTTTGTGTATATCTGGGGCGCAAACTTTAAAAAATGTGTATTTTTCTTTTCATGATATTATTTACAACATTGGGTTTGTGTGTGTTAAATGTTCTTAGGGTTATTGTCTCTTTTCGTTTCTTTTAAAATTTGGTGTTATAATTGTTCCGAGAATTTCGTGGTTAAGAGAAGCTTTTGAAACCGTCTGGATTTTTATGGAGCGAAGATACGTCTGTGTTGTTCTTTTTAATACTGCTCTTTTGCTTGTGGTGGAAAGGTCGTTTTTATAATGATGATGTTTCAGATGTTTCTAGAATTATGAAGTATCATCATCATAGTGAATCATAAGCCTTTAAATTTTTTCACTAAACCCAAGTATTGCTGAAAACTAGGAATGAAATAGCAAACGTTTCTATTAACAATAGACGCAGAACAGTGCTAAGATTGTCCTGTTTCTTTTTTCCTGTGATTTTTTTTTACCTGTGACTTTATACCTGGATTCGAAAATGTCTATATAGGACGCATGGGATACAATGAACTAGTAGACTAGTAGAGACTTACCAGAACGCATTTTCCAGTTTACTTATCACCAGGAAAATGTCAAAATTTACAAAAAAAAAAGATTTCTTTCAGATTTTCTTATATGTTTTATAATTTTGTAACAGCTGCATTTGTTTATTTAAGAGTCTACGAAAAAGTACTTTTCAAAACAATTAATTGCAAAAACTTTTCTCATAGCATATATATGCAAAAACTCACAATATAGTGCCAAATCAGCTCAATTCAACCTTGACTAGTTCGGAGTTCAGCTAGTTTTATAAATATATACGAATTAAATTCTAGATATATATTTTCAACCAATAAAATCCCATCAGAAGGTTTGTTGGATAAACAATCATTACTCGAGCAAATACTGCCAAAATACTTGCGGACGTAGTTGTAGACCTACCACGTGTTATTTTTGGACCATTTAGAAAATAACAATCATAATCCCTTTCACCACTCCTGCAAAGTCGAGAAAAAGATTTTCACGAGCCAGTGTGAAATTATTTTCTAACCAATTGTATTCAAAAAGCTCACACCTCTATGTGAAATTAGATTTTGAATCCCCTTACGGATATAAAAATAGAAGAATACTGCTTCTCTAGGCTCACAACAGTTCCGGTGGCCAGTTTGATTTACACGTGTATACACCCATACGCAAGACCCAACACCCCACCCACCGACACCACACACAGCCGCTGATTAAGGACTTGTTCACGCACACAATAGAAGGGATTAAACAGCAACCGCTGCCTAAGCTTTTATCTACGAACTCACAAACACAATAGGCTGACCGTCATAAAGTAAGTCTGTTCATACATTTCACACCCCATTAAGAATATTTAATTACTTTATAAAACAAACTTTACTGCAATGAAAAATTGAACATTTTATTATATTGTATATTTCCAAAAAGAATGCATAAATGTTATTTTGACTGACGTTCTGCTTCTATTTTTCCTTCATAAAATAACCTTTTTCATGTTTCATTTAAAAGATGTGTTGTTGTTGTTGTTGTTGTTACAGTGGTAGTATTACTTAAATAATGGTGTATAGCTAGCGTGTATTTTAGAGAGTATTATTACTAAATCAGATTAAGTGTCCCGCTAAGCGAGCTTTGTGCTAGATTAGATGTTTTCGTTTGTTTATTTTTTAACACCATATCTCTTCAGAACGTAGAAGACAATTTTTATAATCAAAACAAAAATTCAAACAAAATCAAAGTCTTTTATACAAATACATGTATGTGGATGTGTAACAGGGTGGATTGTTGACTTGTTAATGTAATTTATATGTATCAGTAGTTGATAGAGAATACCTTTTCTTTTTTTATACTGAAAATGAATACCTATAACAACAATAAGACGTTGAGACACATGTTGAAATTAATGACAAAAATGTGTATTTTTCTTTTCGTTATATTATTTACAATATTGGGTTTGTGTGTGTTAAATGTTTGCAGGGTTACTGTCTCGTTTTGTTTATTTAAAATTTGGGCTTACTTGTTTATAATTGTTCGTGGTTAAGGGAATCTTTTGAAACCGTCAACTATGGATTTTTATGGAGCGAAGAAGATACGTCTGTGTTGTTCTTTTTAATACTGCTATTTTGCTTGTGGTGGAAAGGTCGTTTTTATAATGATGAAGTTTCAGATCTTTATTTCTAGAATTATGAAGTATCGTCATCATAGTGATTCATAGCAAGTGCATCTTAATCTCTTCGAGACATAAACAGTCTTGGCCCTCCAGAGATTCCCTTTCTTTATTATCTGTAAATTTCCCGGCATTCGTGGAAAAGATAGTCTAATAGCTTCCCACTGCCTTCTCCACGATTTTGAATTCAGAGTCGTCCATTCCGATAGCATATGGACAAAAACTCATAGTGCCAAATCGGCTAAACTTTAGAAGTTGAAAGTTGGTCTTTATTAAGGGGTTGAAGCCTACAAGCCCTTCCCACAGATGAAATGTTGCAAGCCTCTCGCTACTCTATCACTATCCCCATGGAAAAAATTCAGACGAGCCACATTAATAGTTTATAGTGGTGTGGAGCCTAGGGGTTAAAATGAACAGTTGATTTACCCACGTCAAGAAGATTAATGAATGATGATAATGACGAGAAAACACACGGCTATTTTTAACAAAACAAGATAAGGAATTTAGCCACGAATTTACACACTTAAAGTCGTGTCAGTGGCTCATTTCAGGAAAATAAATCAGAATTCTTAAAGTCCTTAGTTTTGATGGAATAGTCCATACATACCTTTTCATCCCTCCGGAATAATACACTCTACCACAAAATTACCTATCAACCAATCAACACCCAATTTCCAGTGAACTAGACTTTTCATTGGCTCAAAATGTAGCAAATTCACGCAAAATATCTTTTCGCGCCTAGCCGTTTGGAGCCGATTCCTACTTCCAGAACAAAATAAAAAGGAAGCGTTCAGATCGATTCAGGCAGTCAGAATATCATCCTGAAGAAGTCCCAAACGAATCCACGCCAGTAAAAATCATAACCAGCTACATTTTTGCCGCGCAAATTTCTCGGACTCAGCACACGCAGCATTTCGCTCTACCAGGAACAGTTTCTTACAATACTAGAAAGTGATAATAACTCACTACTAACAAGTATTCGTAAATATTCAATCAAATATCTAAACAATCCAAGGTAAACAACTCTGGAGAATTTAAAGAATTAAACTCCTACTTTATTCACGCATACAAACTACACACATTTCTATATAAATAATATTTTCCACTTAACTCTGTTTGACCAGTTCGTAAACTGTAAATAAATACAAAACCCAATTTACCAATGGTCAATTTCTTGCATTACCAAACTACGTTTTCAAATTGTATATTAATTGTACATAAATGCATGTTGTTTTATTGAAATCTCATAATCGGTGTTCCTTACTCGATTGCCTTGTGATTGATTCGTTTTTGAATGTCTATATTCTATATTGTTGTGGATTAATATGGTGAACATGCCCGTAAACTAACCATCTTAATATAAAAACCTTCTGATAACAAATTCAAACTCATAGCAACCCCAACAGTTTTAACGTATTGTCATGTTCATATAACAGATAAAATGAGCTGACACAAAATAATATTTAAAAAATATTTAAAACAAAGCTAAGACAGTTCGTTGCTCATCAAAGGGATATATGGTTTGCATACGTTCAAAAGTAGACGAAGAGAGATAGTTTGAAATAATTAGCTTTCTTGGATTGTAGAGAGAAAATTCAGTGAAGTGCCGCCTGCTGGTTAGAATCATTTTTAACTGAAATTCCCAGCCTAGCTCCATAACCTTCGTCTCGCCCGAGGATGTCGTGACGACATGATTAATGTGTTTGCCAAAATTCTGTAAAATGTTCGAAATTCTGCGAACTGTTTGTTTGGTAGTCTACTCTGAAGTAATTATGTTGTTTCTTACGAAAAGTTCTGAGATTGCATTATGGACAATAAAGTATTATTTCACATGAAATTTACCAGGTCATTTGGTTTATTTAATAAATTAATCAAAGTTCCCTTCCGGGCAGTTGTCTTTATAAGCCACTTGAGCCAATTCGTACCAGGACGTTTCTGAGATCAGCCTGCTATCCATTTTCTTGCAGTAGCTAAGTTAGCAACACACGAGCAATTTTACTATTGATATTTCTCAATGTCCCAAGGGAAGAAAATAATTTACTAAAGTCGAACTACATAATTGTGATTGTTCTAACTTTTATATTCTCACATTAATAAATTGTTGATAGCT